GAGAATCGGTCAGGTCCCGAAATGTCTCTGAAAATCACTCGTGAGCCTCTGGGGGGGGGGGCCGAGACAGGGGGGTGGGAGGCGCTCCTCGCCTCCCTCAGCTGATCCTCGTGCCTCTCGCACCTCCGCCCCCAAACGATCAATTACCAGCCACCCTTCTGCCAGGCGCGGAGGCGAGGGCTGGCGGACGGCCGCGAGGAAGCGGCGGCCCGGATCACTTCTGCATGACAATTGCCGGGAGGGCGGCGTGGCGGCAGGGCGGGCGGCGTCCGCTTCTCACCATGGTGATTAGGCATTCCCGCCGCGCGCGGGCCACCGTGCAGCGCAGCGCACCGCGGCGGGCGCAGGGTAGAGCAGCGCGGCACAGCTCGGGCCGGCGGCGGGCGCGGCGCGGGAGCCACCGCGAGAGCCAGCCCAGCCGCTGGCGAGCGGCGTGCCGAGCCAAGCCAAGCCAGGCCAGATGGCTCTGCAGCCATCAGGGACCGCTCCCGTTCAGCCCGGCCCCACTTTAGCTGTGCAAACATTTCTTTATCCCGACAAGACAATTAAACCCAGCAGCCTGAAAAAAGAGGCTCCATGACTGCGTAGGGAGGGCACAGCCAGAAACCACCGCACACATCACCGGAGTTCTAGTCTCGGGGGACAGCCCTGGGCGCAGCTGAGCAGGACGAACTAGGGCTGGGCAGTACAGACAGCGGCAACCCTCGAGTCCCTTCTCATCTGGTGATTGGCTGACCCTGTACAGCAGTCATCTGCTCCAGCTGCACTCCCGGGGTGGAGCCTGGTGACCTGGGCAATGCTTCCAAACATTCTCCCTCCAGCCAGAGCAATTGCCCTAAAAGCTCAGACTAGTGCTCCACCTCCAAGTCCTTTAAGACTATAGCCCCCACCCCAATGGCATGATGTCAACCAGGCCCGATTTATTTCACTGGGGGTGGGTTCAGCTTAATTCACATTACATGCAATCCTCCATACTTGTCACATCTCAGAGTGCAAAATCCCATTCCCTATTCAGGGGCTCTGGGGCCTGAAGAGGACTTTGCACATGCCACACAGGACAACCAAGCAGAAATCCAGAGGCTGCTGGGACCCACCAAGTGTCCTGCCTGCCTGTGACTGTCCAGCCACAGGAAGGGCCAGGCAGAGCCCCTGAAGCTGTGTGTCCAAGACCCATCCCTGGGAGGAGCTGGAAGGTTGGGCCACCTGGGCCCTACAGTGAGCATGGACTCTAGTCAACCCCAACTTGGGTTGAGTGGTTGACCAGCAGGCTGGTCCAGATGATGTCATCCTGGTACGAAACTGGGTGGAGCTGCAGCCTAAGGGGACTGGTCAGGAGGCACACAGGACAGGAGCTCCAGTGCTGAGGGGGTAAGATCCACACAGATTCTAACCTGCCTGCCTTTTGCTATAAAGTTTCCTTCAGGGAGAAATGTTTATTTTCAAGGCCTTTGGGAAACAAATGTAGATACCTTGTAAGTAGGGCACAGGTGGACAATGAGAGCATCCTTTTTCTGCATGGGGAGTCCTGTGATGGGGCTCAAGCAGTGACTGCAGCCCCTCTGCTACAGGAAATGACCCCTCCTTGTGATCAGCTTCTCCAAAATCCCTTTTCCCACGGGGCAAGACAGTTGGGCCTGCAGAGCTGTCTGTTTCCGAAGAGGCCAGCACCTACCTCAGGCATCCCCTGTGATGCCAGCTGGATGGACAGCCAGGCTAACTGGAGCCATCTACTAGAAGAGAGGATACTTTACCCAAATAGCTATATTTCATTTCTAAAAGAAAAAAATACACAAATTTAATCACAGATGAACCCCTGTGTCTGAGTACCCCAGCTTCAGCAAAGGGCACCTGAGCAACTGCAGGCCGCTGTGTCGTAGGACCCCCAACTGCACAGGATGCAAAGCGTGAATGGGGAGGGGGAAGCGACCCATAAAATCTGTCAGTGCTTCTGCTACAAACTGATTTTTCAATGACCTCAAGATCAGTAATAAAACTACTGCTCTAAGCAAGGGACACAGACAGACAGACACACACACACACTCACCCCCGTCTCCCAACTGCTAACAACACTCTAAAACTAATTACTTACTGAAGAGTTTAGATGGCATTCAAAAAATATGGATAGGAAGAAAACTGAAAAATGAGTGGTCTATCAGAAATTAATGCTAAATTTAAGTCCCCTCTCCTCCCCCCCAAAATATCCATGATTACTTCTGGCAGTCTGGGCAAATGCTATGTCCAATAACTTGGCCTGTTTGAGCACTTTCTTGCCTCCCTGCTGGCCAACTCTGGCCTCCCATCCCTGCCCCATCTGCCCCCGAAGCTCTCTCCCCTTGCAAGCATCTTGCAGCTTGTCACTTGATTATCTGAGGAAATATTACTTCTTTCCAAACAGTGCTGTAGGGAGGGCCTGAAAGGCATCTAGTGGGAATAATCAGGCCTTCTAACGGCCCTTAAATATGTATTTACATAAAACAGGCCGTAAATATTCCGACACATGTCGGTGTATGACAGGAGCCAAGGAAGCCACTGCTGACTCTGTCGTGGAGCCTCCTCAATCCTTGCCTACAGAAAAACAGCTTCTCTGCCTCCCAGACACTAGAAGCACCAAAAAACACGGTGCAACTTGGGGAAGGCTGCTGCACCACCTCGGCAGAGAAGGAGCCCAGGTGGGCAAACCCACGGCGACTCCAGGCTGACCATGCCTTCCCGTCCTCCTCCCTGGGCATCTTTGTTTTTCTGGTCAAAGACCGGTCACAAATGCAACTCCAGGCTCAGTGGCTGCTCACAAACACCCTCCGTCACAGACACCCCCACGAGCCTACAGTGTACATGTGGTGGTGGTGGTTGGGGGAGGTGTTTGAGGGAAAAGACCAGAGCCTGCTAAACCAGAGCGGAATATTTGACACAAAAAGGGTTCTAATGTATAGAACGCTGCAGTGTGAAAGAAAGAAGTTTCCCCAGCCTTCTGATCAGAATGTCATTTGTTTCAAGGTCGGAATTCCATTTCACTTTGGGAGACAGACTCATTTAATTTTTCTCCACCCAGGCGTATTCTTGGCCGAGGGCTCCGCCACGTCCATGGAGGACAGTACCACCACACAATGCAAGCCAGGCACGTGCAAGAGTTATGGCAGTGACACTCCAAGGGGGATGGATCTCTACATCCATGAGTCCTGACTTGGCTAACAAGCTTCCTCCTGCTCCGGCAGTCAGTCACAGACTTGGGATTAAAAGATGGAAAAAACGGGGACAAGCCGGGTCTGTTCTGTCAGTAGCAAGGAACTTGAGCTGCAGATGTGACTTGCGGCATAGGAGTTTGGCGAGGATTTCATTTTCCACTTGTATTTGGAGAAAGAAAAGGGCAGAAGTGATTCCATCCTAACCCAGGGCAGTTTTGTTTTGTTTTCTCCCAGCCAGAGGTTGGATCACGGACTAGCTTTGATCACTTAACATATGGCTCAGCAAATGGCAGCTTAAAATCAGACACAACGGACCTGGACAGTGCCAGTACCTGAGCAACTGATATCTGCAAGCTGGGTCAGAGCGCACACAAGTCAACAGAAAGGAGACTGATGTAAAAGAGCCACAGCCCGAGGGAGAGAACAGCACGAACAGCTGGGCTGTCACACAGCAACCTCCTGCCTTAAGCAGAGAGGTCTCCAGCTCACAGACGCTGACATAAAAGACACACTGGCAACATATTTCAAAACCAAAGAGCGATGGATTTACAAGGCAGGTTGATTTTATGATGACTTTTATTGAAAAGGTACGCCGGGTTTAGGCAGATGCCTTTTAGCGCAGGAAAGTTAACACAGTGCCTAATTCAAGGAGACAGCCTGAGGAAGCAGTGCCGACAGGGGAGAGAGCTGCAATGTCTCTATTACTCTCCTTGGCATCATAAAAAGAAGAGTGAAAAAAAAAAAGGTATTCACATTGGTGGTTATAGAGGGGTTGGGAGCACAGAAAAATCGAGAAGAGGGGAAAGCAAATCTCAGATGTAGTTTTCTTAAGAAAATACAATGAAGCAAATCTTAGGACAAAAGGTTGGATGGGAAAACACCCTCAGTTCATAAATTCTTACCAGGCTTGAAGAAAAACGGCTCTGTCTCCCCCACAGCCCAAAAGTTCCAAAACACAATTATTTTCTGATTATTTTAGAGTGCAAGATGGCCAGGGCTCAGCACCCCTGGCCTCCAAGCATTACAGGAAGGTTCAGTTCCCGCTATGGGCGAGGAGTTGCCAGAGCCCAAGAAGGCACGTGGAGAACACGAGAAAGGCTGTTTCATAAGCAGGGATTAATCATAGTTGCGAACATCAAAATATGGAACAGCCACACAGGTCAACCGTATCTAGTCCTGAAAGGGAGCCCAGGGATAAGCACCCTGCAAACCTGTTAGTTCCCAAGAGAAGTCAGCTTTCTAGCCTGCGGTCGCCAGGAAAACCCCGCTGCTTGAAATGCTTTATGGTGATTGACGACACCTTTGTCTTTGTCTGAAAAATAGCCTTATGTGGACAAGGGCTGAGAATTGTGAAAATAAAAATCGCATGGAGTCTGCTGGAGGCGATACAATGAAGATGTTAAAAAAAAAAAACAAAACTAACATGGAGATCAGAGAGAACCATCAGCAGGCCAGCCAGGAGAGGAGGGGATGAGTTAGTCCACAAAAACCTTCCCCCCCCACCAAAATCCCCACGACCCCACATTGGCTCGTGCAAATGACATCCACTCCAAGGCATCTCTGAACCCCTCCTGACTGCAGAGTCCCCAGGGAATGGGCCAACCACGCCCCTAGACGGAAAGGAAGCGCTGGGGCCACCTGGCCTTGGGCCACCTCCAGAATAAAACTTCCTATCAGGAGTGTAATGAAGCCAGCCAGTCAGCACTCCACACCACTGAGAGTTAGGAGTTGGCCCGGGGACCGCTGACCTGTTGAGCACTCTGAGGCAGAGCTTACTAGGGACAAGGGGGTAGAGAGGGCTCAAACCAAAGTACTCACATCTGTCATTCCGATCTTCTGGGCTAGATGAGGCTTCCCGATCTGAAATGAGGCCAGAGACCGCGAAAATCTTCTTCCCAGTGTCGTCCACTTTAAGCGAGCCGGGGGAGCTAGATGGCAGCTGTGTCCCAAAGTCATATTCCTTGCCATCTGCATCTGAGAAGCGCAAGTGGGGTGACTCTGTGTCATGGCAGTTCTTAAGTCGCTTGGCTGGCGTGAAGGCAGACTGATAGCTCTCCCGGTCCTCAGTGGAGGCAAAGGGACGGAAAGCCCCGACACCACTGTGATTCAGCATACTGATTGGGGTGCAATCTAGATTTGGGGGAGCAAATTGAGGGTGGAGGTGCAGTAAGGAAGGTGGGAAATCACGGTTGGCAAAGGTGCCTGGCACCCCACCTTGCCGATGGTACATAGAGGCAAAGGTGTAGGAGCCATTGGTGAATGGGATGTGTACGTCCTTGTCTACCGAGACGGGTACGCCAAAGGGTCGTGGCTGCTGACAAGGGATGGACGCATCCCGGCTGGCCTCGGCTGTGGACGCCAAAACCATCAGTGCTGGGGAGGCCAGAGGGTTGGGGAGGTAGGACGAGTTCTCCATCTTGAAGGCTGCCCGGTGTAAGTCCATTGGGGTCTCTTCGACAGGCTGGCGTCACACAAGAAGCAGTCTTCCCAGGTTGGGGGGGCCAAGCGGCACCTTGGAGCCGGACAGGGACTCCTACTGGGGAATCATCCCCTTCTGAGACCTGTGGAAACAGCAAAGAGACAAAAAAAAAAGGGGGGGGGGAGAAGTCAGGGGGAGGGAAACCTGCAAGTGATGGAGAGCCCATCCTTCTGGCTTACAAATGCTTGGGCAAGAGACACCACGGGCTTCAGGAGCGGGTGGGCAGCAGCGGCAGGCCATTTTCATTCAGGAAAATCAATAGACAACTTACTGTGATCTACGCGTAGCTGACTTTGGTCCCTACACGTTCCGGGTGAAATGCGCCCAAGCCCAGCCAAGAAAAAAAAAAATCATAAAACCTCCAAATACAATATTCCCTGAGCAGATGAGCTTTAGGAGGCCAAGTCGCCCGGTGGATTATAGGTGCGGGTCTGTACTTTTCAAGATTCACCGTTCGCGGCTGGCCTGGTGTTCAGAGAACAGTGTCCAGCCACACGACTCCCCCACACATACATGCTCTCTCCATCTTCCCTAACAAGGCCCTGACGTGCAAAAATTCCCACATTATGCCCACGCAGGCCAGCAACAACCTTGCGTGTTTGCTGGTACCAACTGTACACATGGAGCCGTCATACGCATCGGCACATGCATAAGCATGCACCCCCATGTGTCATCCAAGCGCGTTCCAGAAAGAAGAGCTATGTGAACCAAGGAGAGCCACATGATTTTTGATGCACACGCCTCTCTAATCACACAGGCTAGCTATTTCTCTTTTCTGAGAAGGAACAAAGCCTTCATCAATAAAATGCCTGGCGTCTCTGACAATATTTAAAAACATAATGGGTGTCTTTGGCATATGTTCTCTGGAAGCGTCTGTCTTCCCGGGGCAGCAAGGAACGGATCGGTAATTTTAGTTACTAATGCACTCACTCTTAAGTAGATTTGTAAACGGCCTTGGGTTTGCCATTAACATTTAGAGCAAAATGCTAACCAAATTTCTGACTTATTTTGCTCTTGCTTATGGGTCCAGGCAGAGTGGATGACCAATAAAGGCCCCTGGAACAAATTGGAGTTAGAAAAGACTTCTTTCGGTTTCCCCTTGTAAATTTAGATTGGTACGTTTTCATAGCCACTGATTCCATTTCAAAATGTATATGGAGGGAGGCTGGGAAGAAAGGCTATTTATCAAAAGCCAGGATAACCTCATAAGAGGAATCTAGGACTCATTAGCTTCCAAAATACACACTAAATAGAAACTCCATGAAACTAAAAGTGTAACCTAAATCACCATCTGCTACAAATTAGAACCTTTACATTCAGAAATAAAATTTACTCCCTCTTAAAAAAAAGAAAAAAAAACCCACCTACACAAGGAAGCATTTGCGTTTTCTGGTTATTCCCTCAAAGAGAGGAATATTGGGTAAACTGCAGACTGGTCCTCCTGGCTTAGGGCAGCACGGAAAGACTGCTCCTCCTCCCATCCTGCCACAGGCATGTCGATGGCTGTTATTCATTGGGAAGATGAGTGGACACCATCCGACTACTTCCTCATTTGGCACCTTTCCTTATAGACATCATTGCTAAATTACCAGATTATGTATCTCACATTAACGGATTTTTCTCTCTTCCAAATTTTAAATAACTTTCCTGTCAACTTAGAGCAGTGCAGAGAATGATCTGCCAAGGACAGCCAGTGAGCGCGACACATCTGGGAATCCTGTTCTTGGCCGTTTCCAAGTCAGATTAATGGTCACATAACATGGACGCTCTGACAGTGGGCTTAGGGCTGTTCCAAGGTTCTGGACAGCAGAGAGGCAGAGCCGCTCATCTGTCGGCCAGCGCTGGCTGTGGGAAGGGCCGGGCACACCCCGTGCACAGGCGGGAACTTGCCCCCTCCCCAACCCCAACACAGCCAGGATTCACTTTCTACTTTTACTTCCTAGATCACCTCATTACGTTAAATGAGTTTCATAAATTAGTAATCTGGCGACAGCACCGGACACTCTTAACAGAACATGGCGAATCACTCAAACCAGGTTATTCATTTGAAAACTTCATTATACTGAAAATAAATCAGCAAGATTTTCCCCCCAGCCACATCTCTGTTCCTCCACTGTGTGGGCGTTGGCCTGCATGGGGGAAGGGGGGGCTTTTTTTTTTTTCCTTTTCCCCTTCCTGCCTTTACCTCCTTTTCACATTAACAACTTGTATAGATGAGGCTTCAGCAGACCACAGTCATTATGAAAATCTATAGTTAATACACTCCCAATGTCAAAATGTCATGCGTTTAAACACAGAACCCCAAATAAGAAAACTAACGGACCCTCTTAATTAAAAAAATATGGATTGTAAGATCATCAGCTTGATGGAGCATCTGGGTGATGGGAAAGAACCAGGGAAAGGGAAAGTAAGTAACTGTTACTTTTCTGCCTCTATGCTGATTTTTTTTAATTTAGCACTTCGTGCAAATCCAGATTAAAATAACTCCAGCTATTGATCCGAGCAGTGGAATTGACATTAATTTTAGTTCACTTCTCACTTTGCAAAGGGATCAATAGGAAGTAATAACAGCTGACATCCCTGCTGAAAGGAGGAGAAAGAAGGGCTGAAGACAGAAATCGAAAAGCAACCAAATAAATCATCAGCTACTTTTCCACGGCCTCAGACAAACTCCAAACAGATTGCAAAAAGTCTTTGTTGAATTAACTAAACAAGGAGGCGGGATCAATCCACGAAGCTAAATGAATTGTCTGGTAGGCAGTGAGGTTGGACGGAGGGGCCAACAAATATCGAGTTTTTAAAAATTTCAGATCCTTGACGTGCTTGGGTTTGGTTCGGGTTCTGCATGGGTGGGAGTTTGCTTCTTCCATCACACACAACCCCGACCCTGGCTTAGAGCGATTACAAACCGCCAGCTAACTGAATAATGAGTGAGATTACTAATTGCGTGGTTAAACATGCCAGAACCAAGACAAATGAAACGAAGAAGCAGGGGACCAGAGCGTGAAGACGTCTTAGGTTGAGCCGGTGAGCCGCTCGGCGCGCTCTTGGGCGCGAACCAGCCACACTAGCACCCAAAAACCGAAAGCCAGAAAGAAAAGTCCCAGGGAGTGGGCCATCCTCGGGTCCTGCCCGGGGGTCTGGGCTTCCAGACCCGCGCCAGCCTCGGCGCTGGAGGATGCCGCGCTGTTGCCGCTGCTGTGGCTGGCGGCGGCCGCAGCGGCAGCGGTGGGAGCCAAACTCGCTTGCAAATGCCTGCCACAAAGAAAGCTGCCCAGGACTGCCTCCGGGAGCCGCGCTCAGGGCTCCCACAGAACCACACGACTCTGCAGGCAATTAAAATGCACACACAACACCCCTCTGCCGATTACAACAGGTGACGTGTTTTTGTGGTCTCTGAGCCGTTTCCAAAAGCCAGGGATGAAAATGATAGCACAAATCAAATGATAGCTCCCGTCTACACAAACTTTTTAAAAATGAACAGGCAACTTTAAAAAGCCAAGAACAATGGAAGACGAGGTCAAAGCAGCAGGGGTAGGCTGTGAAAAACGCAGCAAAGAATTTCCTTAAGTTCACAGACTTCGTTTGCAGAAAACAATTCCCGCATGGGGTGCGCACGGGGAACTGGAGGGAGGGGGTGTTAGTGGAAATTGCCATTCCAGCAGAAACGCACCAACATGTGCGAGCCAGCAAGCAGCACCGGCCAGCATGCCTTCCCGCTAGGGTCCACAGCTGCGCGTCCGGGTGTCCATCCCAGCTCCGGACCTCGACCCAGGCCTTGCGGGGCCGATGGGCGCGAACCCCGAGCCAGCCCCGCCGTACCAGGAATACGGGGACGCGACGTGCCGGCTTCGCGAGCGGGTGCGGAACCCAGCTGGGAAGCTTCGATGGGCAGGGGGGATTCTTTTTAGGGAAAACGAGCGAGAACGAAGTGGAGGGGAAACAGACATCCACTTGGGGCCCTGGGTACAACCGAGCCCACTCCTCCTTGGCTCGATCCTTCCCCTCTAGCTCTCGGTGTCCTATGTACGAAGAATACTTAAGGTCCCTGCAACCTCGGCACACAACACTGTGCTAACTTTCGGGGGGGAAAAGCGCCGGCCGGAGAAGATCCACCGCATGAGAAGGGACCCCTCGCCTGCAAACGCGGGGGATCCACGGGCGAAGGGTGCGAACCACCAGCCCTCCCCTCACCTCCACCCCAAAGTCTGCGGACCGCAAGCCCCGGCCACAGGCATGCCCCACGGGTCACCCGGGTCCCGGAGCGCAGGTTTCGGCACCTGCGAGTGCGGCCCGGTGTGGGGCCGTCCGGGTTGCTGGGCTGCGGGCCGGAGGCTGTGTCGTCCGCGCCCCGGGGCCGCCACCGCACACCGCGTGGCTTAGCAGAACAGGTGTGTGTCGTCTCCCCCCTCCCTACTTCCCCGGCCCCAACCACTTCCAGCCAGGCTGGTTGTGCGGGTCCGTCCGCGGCCTTCCCCCACCTCTCCGGGCGAACTCACTCCACTCGGGCCGGGTCTCCGTGGGTTGGGAAGGATCGAAAGATGCCTACAGCTCTCTGCCTCGACGCGCTCTCCCTGCCTTGCCTCCTCTGTTCATTTTCCCTTTTCGGGACGCGCCCAGGAGACGGAGAGAAGGAGGAGGTTTGCGGGGCGCAGCCTCCTCCAGCCCCCCTCCCGTGTCCGCCCTGCAACCCCAGCCCCTTTCGCCGCTTCTTCACACCACCCTTTCACCCCGCCTCTTTCTCTTTATTTTCCCTTTTTCTTCTTCCCCTCTTTGCCCCTTGAGCCGAATTCGAAGGAGTCCAGGGGCAAGAGGACACTGCCGGGTATGGTGGGCAACGAGTGCGTCTAGTCTCTCTCTTTTTTTTCCCTCCGCTGCTCCCAGGGCTGGGAGGCTACACGAGCCGGAGACCCCGGACGCCCTGAGCCTGCCAGGCAGGGCCGCGCCCCCACCCGGACGACCTTGGCCCCTTGCACCCGGCTCTGCGGGGCCCCAAGCCCCGGTCCACCGCTGCAGCCTCGGCCGGGACCCCGAGCACGCAGCGTGTCCGTAGCGGGCAGCGAGAGCCGTTCCCTCTAGCCTCCC